GCTTCTATCCCGCTATGGACGAGGAGTAGGCCCCGGGCAAGGTGCTTCTACTTATATATCTTATCTGTGATGCTTTTGTGGGTGGTGATCACAAACTGGCTTGTATTAAACAATGGTGTGAGATGTTGGTTTAAAAACCACTTTGCTTCCACTACTACTTTATTTGAACTTGGTTTGTAATAACTTCAATCGCACTCTGATGTATGGCAATGTATTTGTGAACTCTATGTAGCATGTGGCATGTACGTTGAATCATGTACGATTTTGGTTGTATGTTGGCGATGAATCGAGAGCCTTCGTGGTACTCGACGGACTATCGGATTTATATGGGCTCAAGTATGATAGTGCGATCGCTCGCGGGCTACCATTGTACTTGTGCTCTTATAAAGTAGACGGTTCTGTTACATAATTTTGATGTCATGTAAAATATAAACATTTTCTTAGTGATGCCAACATTCTTATGTCTTATACATACAAGATATCCCGTAGCAAAAGTGAGGAGAATCCATCTAGTTTATTTAGACGTGCATGTCAAATTCCTAGTTATTAGATTAATTGTTAAATATATTCTCATAATAAATATATTTAAAGATATAAATGTTGCTAATATTTTTTATAAATTTAGTAAAAGTTTGGAAAGTTTGACCGACACAGAATCCAAAATGACACTTATTTGGGGACAAGGACGTATCATACAAATATCTTTATTTTCTTAGGTGCTTTTGTTTTCCATAAGCATTGTTTAGGAGTTGGGAGATAAAAATGTAGTAACACTCGTAACTAAGAATTGTCATATTGTCACCACTAAAAGATTTTAGATTAGGATGTGCATAGAAAACACTAAATAAATAATTGATTTAAACATTCTCTAAAATTTCCCAAGCTTATTTTGTTTTGAAATAATATAGGGGAAAATGTTATTTTCTAAATTTTATAATTCAATTTGATTTATTTGTTGTGTTCATAGCGATTGTATTTATTTATTATGCTAAAAATGAATTTATTTTTTTATAATTTATAAATAATAAAATTTCAAAATTTAGACTTCAAAACAAATTGAAATTAGGTCCTTGTCTTTTGTTTCAAAAATAAATTTAATTTTACTTTACAATCTTTGCATAAATATGTTTTGAAAGAAAGTATAAAATATAATGAATTATTTTAAAACAAATTTAAGTATAAATTTAGTTCAAGATTATTGTTTTAAATTTAGTTCAAAATTGTTTAAAAACGATACTTAAGCCAATGTAAAAATGTTTAGAAAAATGTGTTTCAAAATTTTGTTGCAAAGGTATTTGTAAATAAAATTTGAACTTTTAAGTAAGTTTGAAAAGTTATTATAGTTAAGTAGTTTGAAAACATGTTTGGAAACCGGTTTAGAAAAATATAAATGTTTTTGAACTTTATTTGGGATAAAATACTTTTATTTTTTAGCCAAACTCCTTCTCTTCTTCTTTTTATTGGTTTCTTATTCGACCTGGGCCAAAACATCCCTACCGGCCCATTACACGTTGATGGGCAATTGCAGTCTAGCTCTACACGTTCACAGAACATTCAAAATGGCTTCGGAATTTCAATTTTTCAACTAAACATGTTGCCGGCCGGTCCGGCTATGCATGGCTGAAGACTGATGCAAGATATGGTCTTGTTCTTTGATCTCACTGGGTGTGATCACAGGTCAAACTCAAACCCCACTACCACTAACCTTTCCTGACTTATTCCAACGGCCATGCATGATGGAGCCTTTCTTGCAGAGAGGTGATGAGATCATACCTTCATAGCTTGCCTCACCCCAAATAATACTTTAATTAGTACTAGTTTTTTTTTGTTCTTCTTCTTTTCCTTCTTGACTCTGTCAAAGTCACAGCCGTTGGTCGTCGGAGATGATTGAAACCGCGGCAAAACCATGCATTTGTGTTGCCAAAACGACAGTGCTCGCCAATATGCTTCTTTGATATAAAAAGAAGAAGTAATGGAGTGGAAGCCATATATTGCTCAGGATATTTGTAGCATGTCCATGTAGCAGTAGCAATCTCGGAAGGACAATGCAAGGGCCGAAAATCTCTAGCGTAAAGCTCACAAAGAGGGCCTGCAAATCTGCAATGATAGACGACGTTGATCGATCAGAAATATGGTGAGGCAATGCCCTTATCCTCAGGTTAGTAGTACTACGTTGGAGGACGAGGCAAAAGCCTGGTGAGCATCGACCACATCTCACCAAGAAGAAGCATGCATGAATTGGTCAAAAAGCAAGCGCCGGGCCCGGAGTTGCGTTGGTCCAGGAATATTTGGTGATGCAATGGATCGATCGGTACAAATAATTTATGTGATGATATATATATATATTTGTTATTAATTTTCTCTACGTAATGGTAATTAGCTTAATCTGTACCAGAGTGTAAATGTGACGTCTGGATGGGGCTCGATCGTACGGGCCCTGATGAGGTGAGAGTGAGAAGATGGAAAAAGGCGTGAGCCAACCTCCGAGGGCACCGGTCTAACAGCTCGCGTGCCCGGTTAACATCGCATGATGATGCTCTTACAGTTTTCCTCTCCCCCCCCCGCGTCGATCTCTCTCTCCAGTACACAGTGCACCGATGAATGATTACTCGGAATCAGGTTCGTAGGAAAAGGGAGATCCTTGGACACGCATTATTGTCAGTTAGGGCCGGGCAATGTATACACGCCAGCCGTCTCACTACTAAGTTTAGATCGTGTGGATATATGAAATTGGCTATAGCTTGGTTCTGTACAATCTGAAAACCAACAGATTTTATTTCAACTGTCAGGATGCATCTTCGCGGGTGTTTGTATCGAGAGACTAAAGTTTAGTCCCTGTTACATCAGACGTTCGGATGCTAATTAGGAGGATTAAATATGAGCTAATTATAAAACTAATTGCACAGATAGAGACGAATTTACGAGACGAATCTATTAAACCTAATTAATCGATCATTAACACAAGTTTACTATAGCACCATATTGTCGAATCATGGACTAATTACGTTTAATAGTTTAGTCTCGCAAATTTGTCTTATCTGTGCAATTAGTTTTATAATTAGTCTATATTTAATACTTCAAATTAGTGTCTAAATATCTAATGTGACAGGGACTAAAAATTAGTCCCTAGAACTGAACGGCCGAGACTTTGCAAAGCATGGCAAACTAGCCTACTCTTACATATCTCACTTGCACATCAAAATTGCTCTTGGTTTAGATGCTCCGCGAAATTTAACATCGATTGTCGTGGATGATTATTGGCTCATCAATACAGGGGTTAAACAGAAGAAAAGTTCTTCTGAGGTGGCTGTGTGCCCTCTTTAGAGGAGCGAATTGTTATGTCAAAACTATCTGTAACATCTTTCTTAATTACATATGCAAATTTTATTTAGAGGCACATATTGGTTGATATTGTAGAGATTGTTGCAAAACAAGGCATAGTGAAAGATATCACGATTCACGAAGGCATGCCATATGGCCATGTCATGGAGGTGGTGGCCATGGAGTTCTCTGCAATTGGTTTCACAGTACATGTAGGCTATTTGTTTGATGTTACTTGTCGTCCACCACGTTTTATTTTTGTTTATATATTATGCCATTCAAACTTTATGATTTTACATTAGGTAGTAGTATTTTGTAATGGTGGTAAGTGACGGTGGTTGTATGCATCATGGTGCAAAAAGAGCCTCAATTTTTTTCTTTATCTAAAGAAAATCTCACTTGCACATAGTAAATTATTCACACTGTGGTAAATAATTAAACCTTAGACTTCTAATTTCCTCGGAAATAACGAGCTACGTTTGGCTAGTTGGTATGTGAACAAAAACAAAACACTATGCAGCTCAATATGTTGCACTCAAATAAAGACAACACTAACACCTGCACCTAAACATCAACCAACTCGTAGGGGCTAAAATACAAGACACTGGTCCAATTAAGCTCAGTGATGATGCTCTTTTTGCGTAGTCATATCGATCTGCAGCTCGCTATAATCTCTTATGGTCTTCCCTTGGTAGGCAAGTAGTGGTGTACATACGCAAGGAAACCAAATCGTTGCATGTCGGTGTGGGTACATACATGGCCAATGCGAGGCCACCTTTCTGAATCCTGCATGAGCCTGTACCACTAGAATTGTCAGTGTGTGCGGTGTATGGCAGATTTTTGGTTCGCCAAGTGGGGCCCTCCGGGGAGGAATCTCAGTAACAAACTGGCTCTTCCTTCTGAAAGGCAGCCCCGGCGATGTCGCTGTCGCTCTGCCGATCCACAAGGAGGGAACCAACAGCTGCTTTCTCCTACCCAATATCAGGTTGCCCCCTTCTATATACCCGATCTCTCCCTCTTCTTCTCTCTACCCCTCCACTTCATATATATCGGCAAGAGCTATAACCAACCTCGCCAGCTTCCTTAGTTTAATCTTACACTGCTTCAGTGCTAGTGTTGCTATCTCTTTTCTGAAGAAAAAGGTTTGGTACTCCTGTTAATGTGCGTCTTGCCTGTTCATTTGTTCTTTGGGCTAGCTAGCTATTATATTGCACCTGTTGTTTTGTTTTTGGTTATTACTTAACTCGATCTCCTTAATTCCTCTCCCTACACAATCCAATTTTCGTCGACCAGATGAACTTTTGATCGAAGTTGTTCTTCCCCAGCCCATCTCCTTGTATTTGCTTTCTGTTCGTTGGGTATAATCAGAAATGCAAGGCCTTTTCTAGCTAGGGCAAAGCTGCAACCATATGCATGTACTGAACTCATGATGCATTATATTCCATCTCAGCCAGTACTCATCCTTATATTTGCTCACAGATCAGTCACTGCACTTCCTTTTCGTTTCCTATGTCCGCAATCTTCTTCCTTTTCGTTTCCTCATGTCCGCAATCTTCTTCGTTTTAAGCTGTTTAGTTTCTCCCCATTTCTTGAATCATTATTGTTGAAACTTGATGTACTGATCTATATTTCTGTTTGTGTGTTTCAGTTCAGTGTGCAATTAAGCTGCAGGACGAGCGATGTATCACCCGCAGTGCGAGCTCCTGATGGCGCACGAAACCCCGGACCTGGACGCCGCCGGCCAGCCGCACCTCGCCGTCTCCGGCGTCGCGAGCAGCATCCCAGCAGAGCTGAGCTTCCACCTGCTCCACTCCCTGGACGCCGCGGCGGCGGTCAATAATTCCGTAACGCCGCAGTCCACCATCGACTACTTCCTCGGCGTCGGCGGTGCCGATCCTCACCAGCCGGCGCTGCAGTACGAGCCGCTGCCGCCCTCTGGGCACCACCAGCACACCATGAACATGCTGCGCGACTACTGCGGCAACGGCGGAGCAGGCCACTACACCACCACCGAGCCGTACCTCCGCGGGACGAGGACCGGCGCTCTCTTGTTCGGGGCCGCCGAAGACGACGACTCGGCTGCTGCTTACATGCCCGGCGGGCCCTTTGTTGAGACCTCCCCGCCGCCACGGGCCACCGGCGGCAGGAAGCGGGGCAGGGCGCTGGGCGGTGGTTTCCATCCTGGGCTGGCCAACGGCGTCGAGAAGAAGGAGAAGCAGCGCCGGCAGCGGCTCACCGAGAAGTACACCGCCCTCATGCACCTCATACCCAACGTTACAAAGGTACAGCGTACTGGAGTATTTCTATTTGATTGATATCGGAACAAATTTCTTGACGAAACATCTCTTCTGTTCATCGACCTCAATTTACATTAATTCACGATTCTTGCTGTTTATTTTTTGGCACTGATGCAGCCTGATAGGGCGACGGTGATCTCGGACGCGATTGAGTACATCCAGGAGCTTGGGAGGACGGTGGAGGAGCTGACGCTGCTGGTGGAGAAGAAGCGTAGCCGGAGGGAGCTGCAGGGGGACGTCGTGGACGCGGCGCCCGCCGCTGTGGTGGTCGCCGCGGCCACCGGTGAGGCGGACAGCTCGGAGGGCGAGGTGGCACCGCCGCCGCCGCCGGCGGCCGTGCAGCGGCAGCCGATCCGGAGCACGTACATCCAGCGGCGGAGCAAGGACACGTCCGTCGACGTGCGGATCGTGGAGGAAGACGTGAACATCAAGCTCACCAAGCGCCGCCGCGATGGGTGCCTCGCGGCTGCGTCGCGCGCGCTGGACGGCCTCCGCCTTGACCTCGTCCACCTCTCCGGTGGCAAGATCGGTGACTGCCACATCTATATGTTCAACACTAAGGTACGTTAATTAGACGCCATCGATCTGTAATTCTGTATCCTGACGATTTCATGCATTACTTTTCCCGAGGTTTAAGTTCTTTGCTACTGTACCTACGTGCTCAAAAATTAATGCAATTTTCAGATGACAATATATACTTTTTTCTCTTTAATTAATTTGTTCGCTTTGATGCAGATTCACAAGGGTTCTTCAGTGTTTGCGAGTGCAGTGGCCAGTAGACTGATGGAAGTGGTGGACGAGTACTAGGCTACCACTTCAACTTCTAGCCTATATATACTGATGCCTGCTAGCTTCTACGTACTTCGTTGCTAGCTATAGCGTTTCTTGGATGCAATACTAGTTTAGTTGTTACGTTCTATCTTTGCTTCAACTTACTCTGCTTGATCTATGATCAACAATTAGAGACTGAGTTGTTCCAAAATATCAAGGTTGTTTTGGTCAGATTGAATAAATTGGCACACTGGCCTGTGAGATTATGCATAGATAGGATGAGTAGGTTCACTTGCTTCAGTTCACCGGTATAATTCTCGATGCATCTGGTTAGGTGATCCTTTGGTCAGCTGTCAGCTTAATTCCACGCGATATATTGTCGTATTATAAGGGAAAACAACAATATGTAGCTTTTATTATGTTTTCCCCTAAAGCTTCATGACTGACTTTGTTATCATCTTTATTCTCTACGGTCTACAAGCTAATTTATACTGAACTCATAGAAAAAAAAATAGCGGGCCATAGCGGCGCTATAGCGTCCGGAGAAACTCAACGCTAAGCTATTTCTATTTGTGCCGTTATGCCAACTTTAATTGCTATTATGTGCTATAGCCCCACTAATTGCATAGCTTTGGCGTTCAAATAGCGGCGCTATTTCAGATTTTAGCATCACTAATAGGTTTTGACAATTTAATTTGTTATTTCCTATCATTTGCTACTAATTTGGTATTTTGGATAATTAAACATTGAACTTTCATGAACCATGTTGTAATCTCATATTAGTAATGTTATCTAGACTTGTGGAACTTTAGAAACATATTTGTGTTCATCAAATTTCATATTTACCATCTTTTTCATCAATTATTGGTGTTTTTCATATTTTCTTTATAAAAACGCTAACTGTCATAGTGCCGCTATAGCCTCATAGCTGTTGAAAAAAAGTTGTCGCTATTTTCAATAGCCTCTATTTAAAACTATAATGAACTTGACAAGTACATTGTGGTTTGGATGGTTTTTTCTTCCAAGAACAAAATTGTCTTCGGCCTCCGTGACTACATACAATTTAGTTCTTACAATATTTCAGCTCAATAGGTGCTCAAAAAAGAGAACACAAAAAAGAAATAATTAAAAGAAAAATCTTGTTGTTTCTCCATCTATTTTTGGCCAAACGTTCAACCTCTAATTCAACTGCAAAGCCAACTTCAACTAACCACTGCAATTTTGGAGAGCCTTTGGTTTATATTGTGCGTGGCCTCCATAATTTAAGTTGGAAAATAGAATCTTACTAGGATTGCTAACGGGAGGCTTCAAAGGAGGCTCCACAAATATTCTCATCAAAAACACGCTAGAAAAAGATAAATACCAAAGATCACCATAAAATTCTGAAACATTTGGCCTTTAATTTAGTAGGACTAAGCTCTAATCACATCACCATCAATAGCCATCGGATCAATTATTCTAAAAAAGTTACTCACATATGCCATTTAGAAAATAGAGACTAACTCCAAGATTTGCATCAGACACCATTGTCATTATCAAAAGATAATTAAAATAATTGCATAAATTTATATAAATTTACACATTTGTCGTATGAAAGATAATGCAAAGTAACCTCTAGATTTACTTTTAAATTACACACACATCTACTTACTATTATAACAAATAATATAAGTAACCCCTTTAATTTACATTTAAATTACCGACCTCTATCATCATAAGAAATGAAATAAAATATCCCTCAAATGTACATAGTGACACATACTCCCTCTCAAATTAGCCAATATCATTTCAATACTTCATAACAATATAATTTATAAGTTGGTACTTTAAATTATTTTAATAATTCATTAGTACATGTTGGCATTTTACTTTAAATTATTTTAATACTTCATGACAATATAATCTATAAGTTGGTGTACTTTAGATAATTTTATACATTTTGATCGGAACATTCCATGATGATGTATCAATATTAGTAAATTATTTTTTTATGAACAATACCAATACACATACAATTCTTGGACATAGCAAACACTACATGTTGTTGGTGGTTGTGTGTGTGTCTATTCTGGATTGAGATTAGTTGTATTTTGTATGTGAAAATAACAGAGGAGGTGGGAGTTTTGGTAATTCCAAAAATTATTAACAGAGACAAATGTCTTAATTAAGGCACATGCCTGTGTTAAAAACATTAATAGAGATGGACGTTCTAAATGTGTAGCCTATGTTAATGAGATTAATAGAGGCTAGTATCCCAGCCGCCTTTGGAAATGGTCCGCCTCTAGAAATGGAAAACGCCCTTCTAGTGTTGGCACACAAATGAACCAAAGAAGAGAAAGAAGCAAGAAATATCATCCTGCCATAGACACACTAATAAACTATAATTGTCATGAGTGTCATAGGGAATAACAATACGAAATACTATGGTACCATGTACTAGCGCTAGCCTGGTTTTCCAAGATTTTTTTTCTCAGTTTGCCTCCGTGTAGACTGCAGATACTTTTCCTTCTTTCTACTGAGATGAAAAGGCAGAGCACCTGCTAACATCGCTAGCCAAAAAAAAAAAAAAAAGCTGTTAGCTTAGTACTCTGGCTACTTGACTGCCAGATCAGCGTCAAGGTAGAACCATAGAATACGATCGAAGCGGCCAGACGTGGAAAATCACCAAACCATGTTGGGCTCTCATGGAATGGGCCCTTTTAGGTTCGGTGACGAAACACCCACAGGCCACAGCCTATAGAGAGGGAGATGGGTTCCAACTCCACTCGCTCTTGCCGGGCCCGACCCAGCGAGTGCGACGCGACCGACCTTCACCCCCCTCGCCAGCTTAATACGGGTCGCTTTCTGCCACCCAACCAACGAGCCCTGCCCGACTCCCCATCCGCCGTCCGATCCCATCCGGTGGCCATCCGCGAGCCTCCCCTAACGGGTCCAGGTCGACGCCCGGAACCCCGTCGCACCAGGCTATAAATGGCGTTCGCGAGCCCTCTGCGTCGGCCGGCACAGCGGGTCGGATCTACTGCTATTACTACGCCGTTTCCGTAGTAGCAGCGCCGTTCCGTTTCTGTCTTCCCCTCGCATCGCCGCCGCCGCCGCGAAGTTAAGGTGAGGAGCCGTGCTGCCCGTCTATGTCCTTCCTACTCCGGCGGTCCGGCCACCGGTACTATGCCTCTTGTTATTCTGTTATACTCTGCGAGAGATTGATTGGTTGTTGATTGTTTCTTTCCGCGTCTCCTGGGGTGTTGTCCCGTTCACTGAGCAACGCGTCCGCTTTTCCCGGAAACTAGATTAGCGGCTACCTTTTCTGCTCAATTTTTTCTTTTCTTTTTTTGTCTATTAGCCGGGTTGATCACGAACGGGTAGGTTACAGCCAAGTCCCCTCTAATTGGTGGCCCAGATCTAGTCACCTGGCGTTGTTTCTTCTTGCGGCGGTCTTGGAAGGTTGTGTAGCCATTTCTCCTTGTAGTATAGTATCAAGTACTAGCATTGTAGGATCAGCGCCGATCAATGGTGAATGTGTGCTTCTATAGCGGAATCTTACTGTCGCGCACTGAAATTTTGCAACTTTGATTCTTCCGCACCTAGATAGGCGGGGTGGAAAGGTTCATTTTTTTATGCTTATTCGCTGCGTAGAATCTTGTCCATTGAAGAACAAAGCTGGTGATGGCTGACTCAGATGCTTGTACCATGTGGGATTGGCTTAGTCACATACTGTTTCGTGTGAAGTCAAGTGGAGTCCAATGGGCCTTCTGTTGTTTCGTGGGATCTTGTGTTAACTCGTGTAAATTTATAGTTGTCTTTTCTAGCAGATTCAAGTAGTAGTAGTAGTATTTAGCATATTTCTTAAGTTTTCCACTGTTGAGTAGGTTCAATTCTGAGCAGCATTGGCTTGGACACATTTTCAATGTGATCGGTAATTTTAAATGGTGTTATTGATGAACAAGTCATTGGATTTTGTATATTTGCCTTGTTTGAGACTTTGAATAACTTAGTTCCAGATTCTGTTCGTTTGTTTGCTAGCAGTTCTTTTTAGCGCTGTTTTATTTTTGTCCTTTGTGATTCCTACATAAGCATCTTCTGCAACTGAATTCCTTGGATTGTACTAAAGTTTGGACAGGACAATTCTGTTCTTTGAAATGAAATTTCAAGTCATATGGTTTGGTCAGTTAGGTTCTATACAGAAAAGCTCATCTGCTTGTATATTCAGCAGTTTTCTTATCCTTCATTGATTTGAATCAGTTCTATTTGAAACTAATGTAGATTTATGCCACTGATCAAATATGTCCACTCAAAGAAGCCATTGGAATTTTCTTGAAGTCTGAATCTGGATAAGTTTCCAGGTACTGTGTTTCTTCTGACTTCTGAGTCGTGCATGCTACCATGTTATGCAGGTCCACGAAGATGGCTGAACTTGACACGTTCCTTTTCACATCCGAGTCCGTCAATGAAGGCCACCCTGATAAGCTCTGTGACCAGATATCTGATGCAGTGCTTGATGCATGCCTTGCTGAAGACCCTGACAGCAAGGTTGCTTGTGAGACCTGCACCAAGACTAACATGGTCATGGTCTTTGGTGAGATCACTACCAAAGCCAATGTTGACTATGAGAAGATTGTCAGGGATACCTGCCGTGGGATTGGCTTTGTGTCCAATGATGTAGGGCTGGATGCTGACCACTGCAAGGTGCTGGTCAACATTGAACAGCAGTCACCTGATATTGCACAGGGTGTTCATGGTCACTTCACCAAGCGTCCTGAGGAGATTGGTGCTGGCGACCAGGGGCACATGTTTGGATATGCAACTGACGAGACCCCTGAAATGATGCCCCTGAGCCATGTTCTTGCAACCAAGCTTGGTGCTCGCCTAACCGAGGTCCGCAAGAATGGGACCTGCCCATGGTTGAGGCCTGATGGGAAGACCCAGGTGACTGTTGAGTACCATAACGACAATGGTGCTGTGGTCCCTATTCGTGTTCACACTGTGCTCATCTCTACCCAGCATGATGAGACTGTTACCAATGATGAAATTGCTGCTGATCTGAAGGAACATGTCATTAAGCCTGTCATTCCAGAGCAGTACCTTGATGAGAAGACCATTTTCCATCTCAATCCATCAGGTCGCTTTGTCATTGGTGGACCTCATGGTGACGCCGGTCTTACTGGCAGGAAGATCATCATTGACACTTATGGAGGCTGGGGTGCCCACGGTGGTGGTGCTTTCTCTGGCAAGGACCCAACCAAGGTTGACCGCAGTGGAGCCTATATTGCAAGGCAGGCGGCCAAGAGCATTGTGGCCAGTGGTCTTGCCCGCCGTTGCATTGTCCAAGTGTCGTATGCCATTGGTGTGCCTGAACCGCTATCAGTGTTTGTCGACACATATGGGACAGGCAAGATCCCTGACAAGGAGATCCTGAAGATTGTGTTGGAGAACTTTGACTTCAGGCCAGGGATGATCATCATCGACCTTGACCTGAAGAGAGGTGGGAATGGCCGTTATCTCAAGACGGCGGCGTATGGGCACTTTGGCAGGGATGACCCGGACTTCACCTGGGAGCTTGTGAAGCCCCTCAAGTGGGAGAATCCTTCTGCCTGATCAAAAACTTGCAGCCAGCTCTACATTGGAACCTTTTTTTATCTATATAAAGTTGCAATGTTACTTTTGATACCAGTCTACCTGTCACTACATGTTATCTCACTTCCCCACTCACTGCTCGAGTATAAAGTGTGTAAGACCTTATGCATACTGTTTATCTCTTCAACAAGCTTGTGTTGTGGGGTTTGTGATGCCTTTTCTTTTCGTTATCATGTAATGTCGGTCGAGCCAAAGATGGGAGAGTACCGGAGACATGAAACTTCCTACGCCTTGTACGCACAGGTGGTGACCGTCTTCTGATTGGGCACTTCTGAGTTCTTACCAGCTTTCTGGTGGTCTGAAACAATTAATATGTTCTTATAAAAAATTAATGCCATTTGCTTGGTCCACTGATAAACGGCATCAATTACTGTCACGGACGATAATTAATGGGGCAGGTTATTCGAGAAAAAAAAACGGAACAGGTGAGAATTTGGTTACCTACTTACCTGCCATTCTCAGCTACATCAACCCCCCTGCCCCCCAAAAAAAAAAAAAAAAAACAGAATGCAGAAGTAAAAGGTTTTCTTCCTCTCAATGTATACAAGTAAAAGCTTTACCTCAGTCAGGATGCAAATGCGATATTGGAGTTACAAGGTAGGCAAGTTAGAGCACTTCACAGGTTATATTGTAACAAAAATTTCAATTTAGACATTTTAGTCTAAGAAACATGTACATTACTAGAATCTAGCTTCGCTCAGCTCAAACATCTTCATCATACACTGATACAATTGGGTTGGCTCTTGTGCAGTCTATCAATTGGGGCCCCAACGTATATGGTCCCAGAGGAAAGGCCTCATACAAGCAACTTGTGGCGGGCTCTTCATGAGCAATCCCACACAGACACAGACGGCAGCAATGGCGACCAAGGAAAGCATCGCAGGCCTATTAGACAAAAACCTATTTGTCCGGGGATGGAAAAATGCAAGCTGCTGGACCTGCTGGACACATTGTCTGCAGCTCGATGTTTGGTTGATGCTTAGTTGTTTCTCCACACCAAATGTGATTTGATCGGCAGACTTCAATCCGCTAGCATGCTTTCCGACAGTATCAATTGTGGTGGGGATGGTAACCGAGACATGATCTCTGCTCACCCTTCTGTCAATTTTGTCCTGTACCATTTGAATATAGGATACGTGGCCTCTCTGTCGAGCATATTCCTCAGGAGTGAAGCCAGTGGCGTCACGAGCATTCTTCCACGCTTTGATTCCCAACTGAGGCATTTAGGCAGAAAGAAGCCAGACAGCAATTTTTTCAGTGCTTGCACAAATTCTCAAAAGTAAACAGAAAAGTTTTAAGGTAATTTTTTTATTCATACACCTTACGCAGAACTCTGATGTGATATTATACGCCCTACACGATCTATTCGACAATCAATGTAACACACAAACCATGTTTTGGTGGAAGTCCTTTTTTTTTTTGAGAAGTACATAATGCATTTCGGATGAAAATGTTTCATGTGCAGACTTAGGTTCTTACAATAAATGGTGGTCTTAGCTTTTATTTTAAATGTGGTACACTAAGAATCGGAAATCTGCTACTCAGTGATGCTACAGTTAAGAACATGATAATTTAGAGTAGTTACCTGCTGAGGATCATCAGTTAACGCATCTAAAACACCAGTAGCATCACTGATTGTGGCTGCAATATGAAGAGGTGTAATATTTGACAGTCCTGTCATCGCAGGAGTGAACAAGAACTGAACTGGAGCACCGTCACCGCTGCCCACTGGAGCATAATTTGTTGCTGTGTATCTTAATAGACATTCAACTAAAGGCTTTGAGCGTTTCCTGACAGCAGTAAGCAACAGATTTTCTCCCAAGGCAAATTCAATTGGTGATGGGACATCTAGATCAATATCACCCTGGAACATGGTGTTCAGAAGCTTCCTTACAACAGCACACCATTCATGATCAATTGCAAAGGATAGCAGCCATCTAAATCTTGCAACAGGGAAACGGTCTGGACAATACTGTGGCTGCTCAGACGTAGCTCGCACGTGGCTCCTTTGAAGGAGCCATCCGATTTCATGCAAAAAATGTAACGACCGACTGCGATAAGCCATCAGATCATCTATTCTTTCCGAGGTTTCATCAAATGAAATTAAATTCAATACATGCTCCAACGTCCGAATTTCAGAACATACATCATTGTCGGTGACAACAAAGGGAACAGAAAGGCTGCTTTGATCATAATCTTCAACCTGAAAAGGGAGTCAAGTCTGTAATATGAACAAAAAATGAGGACATAAAAAAATACACGAACCATGCACCTCTATGAATCCTCTTCCACTTGTACAAGGAAAGGAACATGAGAAGGTTAGGCATTGAGGGCCTTGCTGCATAGTTGAATCTTCAAGTAGCATTTGTGTCTCTTCTTGAATTAAATATTTTTCACCAAACACACAAAGTAATCTAAAACAAAATTCAGATTTATCAGTTCACACAAGTTGGTTTAGATGAGACATTTAAATGTGAAAAAAAGAGATACATACTTTGTGGTTGGCTGAACTATATTGAAACCTTGCACAGAGAATTTTACAGATGAAGAACAAGCAACTGCAATAGGAGTTACACACAGTCTCTGAAGCTTGTCACCAATTACCGGTTGCCAGGGAGATGCAAACATAAGACTACCTACCAAAAATAAGGAAAGAAAGACAAATGAAGCTGGTCTTCGAATATATGAAAAGAGAAGGAAGCAGAATAATGACTACAGATAAGACGAACGGACCATTGCAACTCAGTGTTAGGCAGTCCTGTACCCTAGCATACAACCATCCTTTTCTCCAAAGTCCATCATTGGATAAGCTAATAAGCTTTTCTATCCAAGAAGCTGGATCATCATCAAGCTTTAATAGAAAAGGAAAATAAGAGTAAGTAAGAAATTTGCTTCTGCACCATATACTATAAAGAAAACATATACATATCTAAGTCGCAGTTAATGTAGTGCAATACTACCTCATCCCACATCCAATTAGGGAGGCGAAGGTAAATAGTTAGAATAACACAACCAGGCCTAATATAGCTTTCCATATCAGTTGGATAATGAGACAGCCAGTTTTTAATCTGTAAATTCAAACCATTTAATGAAAGATTTTGCATTAGCAACATAAAATCTTCACACTGATAAAGTTGTTAGAGAAACATGATTCCAGTTTGTAACATGATAAATGACCTGTTCCCGTAGATCTACAGGAAAATCTTTCGGCTCTTTTCCAAAGAGCTTGAACACAATTTTATCTGTTCGGCTCTGCAAATGTTATGTGCATAAGAGGTATTGGGCTAAGTAGGAATCAAACATCAGAAATACATCTTGGAGAATCAATCTAAAAAATTCAGAGTAACTTTCAGAAAATTATACTAAGATTGGAAAACCTGTTGCAAAACTACACTTTTAGAAATCACTTTCACAAAACTATACCTCTATTGTCAAATAGCATCATCAAATCATACATTTGCGCTCAATTCGTACTGGAAAAATACACTTTTTAACAGCTAAAAATTGTAGTTTTGTGATATTGAATGGCAATAACTATGTAGTTTTGTGATTCGGCTGGACAATAGAAATGTAGTTTCACGAAGTTGCTTCTCAAAAATATACTTGAGAGTTGAGACATAGATTGACAATGAAAGTGTAGTTTTTTTAGACTGGTTTGCAAAAGGTGCAGTTTTGCGATGTTTGTTCAAGATTATTGTAGTTTATGAAATTTACTAAAAATTTACCTCAGCTTCTTCAGTGCAAGCATCATTCAAATCAAAATCCTGTACTCGCCTTTTCACTGGAGGCTCTTCTGAGAAAACAAGTTATTCAAATCATTTTCTTTTATAACTTTGGTATTTGTCATGCTAAACAGCATCAAGTAAATGATAAAATGTTTTACCTGCTAATGATTCCCTCCCGATAGGAGTTGATCGTATAGTTTGCTCATGCACAATAGAACCATTTGCAGCATTATTACCAGCATTTGCCGATATTGAATTTGAATTTGCATTCTTTAGAATATCTTGATATGACTGTGTGCTAGCAATAGCAGCAAGGTTCTTCAAAATGTTGACCAAAGAATTAGGATGATTGATTTGCTCAGAAGAGCTACCAGCTGCCATCCACACAAGCACACAGTTAGAATGACTACGTCTGGAACTCTGGATTGCATGTGGTTTGAGATATTTGCATCTAAAATTGCTAATTGAAGGAGAACTTACGCTCTAGCCCAGAAAGTTGTTTTAACAGAAGGAATAAGGAGCTACTTAGGGATTGATTTTCATTCATGGAATTCCCATTCACAGCAGCTTGTGGTTGAACTTTCCTTCTCCTTCCATTATGTTTTGCTAGACGCGAGCGGCAGCTCTTCTTCCCTTCATCAAATTCTTGAAGAAGGTGAAACCTATCATGGCATACAGAATAGTTACTTTCTTCAGCTGATGAGCAAATGAAAGGAAATGAGAAATGCTTGCAATATTAAAATATGGATTCCATGTTTGATGCTAAACTCAAGATCATGATAAGCTGCTAAACTCAAGATGTATGTAGAAGAAAGAACCATGGTTGTTTTTTTTCTTCTACGTACATTTAGCAGTTTCTCATGATGTTACAACTTACAAGAGAATTATATAGCACTGCCTAGAGCAACACCAAACTTCAATTTTGCAGCCTATCATGATGTTACAACTTACAAGGGAATTGTATAGCAATGACTAGAGCAAATGGCCTCTCATTAATCAAACGAGTCAACACCACTCTATTGATATCCCCAGCAATTTCATTGAATTATCTATGTGCTCTTGTCTCTGATATATAGAGGTGAGAAATTATGATAACACATCATTAAATGAACCTTTAGCTATATATTCCTTACCCAAATGCCGATCAACTGAAACCATCACTTCAACAACTCCCTACAATTTTTTTAGTCTACTGTTTTAGACTTGATGTAAGGATATTAAGAAAAGTGCACAAACCTCTACTAAAAGTACATCCTTAATTTAGTGTCTTCTCAACTAACTATTTGCGGCCAATGAACTAGAGACATATAGCTGTCTCTACATGGAATCCTAGAACGACAAACAAGAAAGAATACTTTTCACAAGTAAAACACAAACGAAAAACGGAGGTGGTAACATCGAAGCAGAAGAATATCTTTCTTCAATAACAAAAGGTATTCTAATAGTAGCAGAAGATAAAAATATGAGATAATCATAGAATGATATTGTACCGATAGCAATAGCACAGATCCAGGTAAAAGCACTTTTATATTATACTAACTAGTATTATGTGTGGGGGCATAAGCATTCCTCAAGGTACATGATCAGCATCACCTAGAGTTCTACCAAGCACAAAAATCAGCTTGGAATTTCTCAAGATAATAATCAGCATGAACTGGGATCCTGTCATGGGGCATAAAACTAATATGTTCAGTATTTCTCAAGGTTAAATGATCAGCAATTCATTTGTGTTGTGTGTTTGTGACACCCGGGTAATGTGTCCTGGTGTGTTTTTTTCCCTCTTTTCTTTGCCGCTTTGGGTTTTTGTACTGGATCAATCTTTCTTTTCTTTCTCCAATACAAAGATGCGTGGGAGAAAAAAAAATGATCAGCAATTGTAATCTCACAACGAAATTGGTGGCCAACCTGCTGCACTGCTGACAGAACCGATGCTCTACATTCTTGATGCAGACCACAGTCGTCCTGGTATGCGCTTCACACACCTTGTGCCTCTTATGGTAGTCCCTGGCACCGCTGAGATCGGCGTGGCAGCCGTCAACCTGACAAGATGGAGTGGTGCTCGAACTGGCACCTTTCCTGGGTCTCTCCTCCTCCTCCTCCTCACTGCTCCGCCCTCTCTGAACAGACACCACGTGATTGTTGTCCCCATTGGCTACCGCAGAATCGCTGCAGCCGGCGCTGCCGTCCTCCACTGGCGAGAGCCGCCGCCTCTTGTCAATGACGACGCCGAAATCGATCTCCCCCTGAGCTCGGCTCAGCTCCCTGATGCTGCACTCGGACGGCGCGGCGGCCGCCGGCGTGGCCAGGAACAGGTTGGTGTCCCACCTCCAGTCGTTCAAATTCCAGTCGAGGCTCTTGTTCCTGTTCCCACCGGTCATTCTGGCCGCACTGGCTTGGTCGCCGCTCTCTTTCCACAGGAAACCGGCTTCCATTTCCACTGCCTTCCCCTCCTCCCTGTCGCCCCTCTTGCTCTTCCTTTGCTGCTCTTTTGAGGGGAATTGATCCTCCTGTTGTTGGCACGTATGACAAGAATCCAAAGATCCCTGAATTCAACTACATCTCAGACTACAGACGAAACAAACACAGAGAATTACCAACCTTGGGTTGGGACAAATCCTGAAACTAACGAAGAGGACAAGAACCAAGAAGTACCTTAGCTCGGGCCCGGCGGCTATAACGATGCCGTGGTTATCCAAGGGAAGCAACGCCCTTGAACTGAAAGGCGAGAAATGATTGAAGAAATGGAGATGGAGTAGTAGCTCATGGAGAGAGCCGAGTCAAGAATTGGGTACCGTGCGTTAGGACCGATTGGGGATGGGGCTGCTACTACTACTTTTCGTCTCCCGGATCCTGTAGCGGCGGCTCGCGGTGGAACGGGGGGCGAAGTATCCTGGGGAGGCAGAGCCCTTCGCCCCCCGGCATATTCACTTATTCACACCACCGCCGCCTCTTTTTCATCACGCCTGTCTGAAGGCTTTCCCTAATGCTATACTTTAACTAGCCCAGGTGCTATACAGGATCGAATAAAAAAATAGATACTATAAAAAAAAAGGTGATCCATGCTAAAGAAAAAGAGAGAGGAAATAAAGCTAAGGCACGACGAAAACAAAAAATTTATATGCAAACTATAAGGAGTGATAGTTTGCATTATGTAAATAATACTCTTAATATTTTCTAAGGGCCTGTTTGGTTCTTTAGTCCATGAACTAAAGTTTTAGTCTATGGACTAAAGTTTTAGTCCACCTTTATAGTCTATGGACTAAAATTTTAGTCCACCTTTAGTCCATGGACTAAAGTACTGTTTGTTACTTAAACTAGTAGTATGACTAAAAGTAATAAATGCTGTGGTAGGATGACTCATTTACCTCTGCCCTGTTGCCCCTGGCGATTTGAAGGTCCTGGCGCCAACTGATAACTACTGGCGCCAAAACAGAGACTGACGGATGCAGTGGAGAAAAGCCAAAACATGGAGTCATGGATGCGCGTGCATATTTTTTTAAAGAGTCCAAAAATGACTGGCGCCTAAATCATTACCCCTCATGCATCCTTCTATTTTCATACATATCATACACATCTTTATAAGCATTGGAAAATATGTTCATACATAATTTCATACACATTCAAACACTCATACAAACGGAGAAAATTGTCCATACAATAGTAGCACACGGCAAATATAACATCACCATTAAACAGTAGACATCTATGATCTGTTGAACAACCCATCGGCTATCCAATCACGGAATTGATTCATGGTTTGATCTTTATCTCCATGACGTGTATTAGATACATTTACTTGAGAAGACGATGCTTCCGAGAGTGGAACAAAGTTCTCGTCACTATCAACCAAATCAAAGTCCGCATCCCCAAATAACTCTCTCGAATGAAATTGTGTAGTACCATACATGCAATAATTATTTGACTTTGCTTTGGCATAGGATAACTAGGTAGGTCAAGCGATATCCTCCACTTCATCTTTAAAACTCCAAATGACCGCTCAATGACATTACGAAGTGAAGAATGTGCATAATTAAATTGTTCTTTTTTACCTCTTGGCATTGGTCCTTGTCTAAACTCCGAGATATGGTACTTAGTTTTCTTGTACGGTGCAAGATAACTCGGTCGATTTGGGTAACCCAAGTCAACGAGATAGAATTTTCCTACACATTCAAGTTAGATGGTTTAAGCAAGTCACATGCCAAGTATTGCAATAATGAGACAACATAGAAAAGAAAAGGTCAATACCTTCATGTGGATGCAGAAATTTGTCTCCAAACTTGTCAATGGCATCTTTGAATACCCTCATATTATGTACTGATCCAGGCCATCCTGCCACGACAAAAGTAAACTTCATATCAAAGTCGCATATAGCCATCACATTTTGACTTATATCCATGTCGTCACGTATGTTGTACTACCTTGCTAGTGGGTATTACAACAGGGATATGTGTCCCGTCTATTACTCTAATGCAATTGTCAAAGAACGATGTGAAACGAGGGGATTGCAATCTAGGATGGACTATCCTAGACTCTGGATTCTTTGGCTTAATGATATCAACGGTGTGAACCAATCACCAATCCACATGAATCACTTTGTTTATCCTAGAAAAGCGTTAGTCTCCATTCGTGGTCTCTTGTCTGGCGCTCGGACAGCGACGCCACGCCCAAGGGTCGTTTCCGTGACGCTGGGCGGTCGGCCCCACGACCGAGGCTGCGCTGCAGGCCTTTTCGTCTCTGCATGTTCATCAGCCGACTGAAATTGGACATTATTTGAATCATTGATCACGTCTTACAACCAGAACATACTACTGTGATTTTTTTCTAGGTAATAATGAAACGAAAACGTACGCATTAAAATAGGTTTCCATGGTGTGTTGTCTCCGCGAAGCCTCATGCCATCTTGATGATTATAATATTACCGTATAACACAATTTTGTATCATAATGTTAATACTTTTTTATATAACTTTGCTCAAGCTTTAAATCATTTTAACTCCTCAAAAGAAGTGAGAATTGCATCTTTTTATGAACGGAAAGAGCATTTAATAGAACTAATATTATTTGTTGTCCTAAATTATATAGTCCATTTTAGCTTTTTTTATAAGTTAAGTTTTCTCAAGTTTGACCCACACTTATGCAATTATAAACTACCTTATGAAAGGTAAAGACATATCCTCCACTCTAGAGAATAAGAGTTCTAACAGGTTTTATTAAAAGCAGTATTACGAGATAAAATAGAGATCGAAATCTTAATTAGTTTATTTGCCTCTCCATAACCCGAACTCACACTCTCGGGAGAGCCTACATGTATGCACGAGATATCCATGGTGGCCACCAGGTACATCCATTTAAAAAAAATCACTGATGCATCATCAATGACGTCTACAAAGAGGAAACAACCAAGTGTCCTTCTGTGCTCTTGATTGAATACTTCACGCATCATCAATGACGTCTACAAAGAGGAAACAACCAAAATATATCAATTTCGACAATCATGGATCTAATTTGATAGCTTACTTGGCGGTGACCTAGAGGAGTAACATATTATTATCGACGAGACTATCATGCATAAAAATAAAAATGACTTTTTGGTATTAACATGCAATTGGTCCATCGATTATCCAACAATGTGCATGCCTTAAAAGCTCACAAGAAGCATGACATAGACCATTCATTTTTTTTTGTCGCGCGAAGCTAAATACCGGTGACAAGACTCAAACATAAGGATATGTTAAGTACCAGAGTAAGATGTTCCTGATCGAAGGACCCCCGGCCGAGGATCGCTCGGGGGCAACACCCATCAGGCACGCTCGCACGCACCTTCCAGCCAAGGATCGGGCAAAAACCGAGCACGCCCTCGACAGCTGCTCGGGACCCCGGGGCTCACTTGAGCGCCAGGCTCCCGATCAACAGCAACCCAAGCCTGATCCTCGTCTGCTTACATTAGAATTTTTATGCACTCTAAAAATATCGGACACTGGGGTAGAGTTTAGGTTCTTCGGAAAAGAATTTGCTCCTAGTTGGAAGGAACTAAGCAATTTACTTGGTTTTCATGCACGCTGCTCAGTTGATTTAGATTTAACATTACCTGAATTTGAAAGAGGGCAATTTTGGCAAGAGATTATGGGGAAAAGAGAGTTTAATTATTCTCGAACTAATGACATTATCGTTGGTTAGGCATGACCATGTTTCCTAGTGTCGGTGTTTTCAGACCACCGACGAATAAATTTGTATTTACGTGTCTCGCTCGGATGGTGTGGTCGGAGGACACAAGGGTTTATACTGGTTCGGACGGAATGTCCCTACATCCAGTTCGCTGCTGCTCGTGTTACTGGCACTTGGTTTGCAGTAGGGGCTATAAACAGGCGAGAGAGGAAGAGGATCCCAAGTCTTTATGGAAGGAGTGAACGGGTGCTGAGAGCTCGTTTGCTGCTCAGCCGTGTGCTCGTGTCGTGCTCTTGTGTTCAGATCCCTCCCCAAGTAGGGGCGCCCTGCTTCCCCTTTTATAGATGAAGGAAAAGCGCGGGTTACAGAGGAGGAAAAGGAGAATAACGAGAGAGAAGAAGGGTTCCAATGTTGCCGGATCCTTCTTCTCCTTCATACGGGTCCCGCCGATCCTATAGATGTCAATAGGGATGGCTCCACGTCGTGGTCCTGTTCGTCACTAGCGCCATGCGCAGGCGTCATCTGCCGGTCTTAGCATTCCACTCCGTCCCAGCGGACGTCGTGGTCAACTGATACGCCTATCAGCGTCCGTACGAGGGTTAGGCAAAACAGCATCGGCATGCCCGATACTGTTCTTGATGTGAATCCCTAGGTATGGCCCCTCATGGCCATGGGTTATATCGAGGCGTGCCAGCCTCTTCCCTAGTGTCAGAGTTTTGACCCAGGCCCATACGCTTGGACCTAGAGTGGTTGGCGGTGGTATGGGTCCCCGTCGGACGAGACGAAACCCACGTCTTCGAGGTCGGGCGAGACGGAGCCCGCGACCTTGGGCGAGACAGAAACCATTTCCTTGGGGTCGGGCGAGATAGAGCCCGCACCCAAGGGGTCGAGCGAGACGGAGCCCAAGGCCTCGAGGTCGGGCATGACGGAGCCCGCTGCCTTGGGGTCGGACGAGATGGAGCCCGTGGCCTTGGGCAAGACGGAACCTGCGTCATTGGGGTCAGGCGAGACGGAGCCTACACCTAAGGGGTCGGTCGAGACGATAGAGCCCACGGCCTCAAGGTCGGGCAAGACGGAGCCTGATGAGGACATCACTCCTTCGGATGTACTCGCTGATCCTTCAACCGTTATGCAAGGTCCAATGACCCGAGCTCGAATGCGTCAACTCAATTTAGAGGTGAGCTCGTTCTTATGCGATCCTTTTCATACTTTTGAGAATAGACTACTACCTAATGATGTTATCTTGCTTATGAACATAGGAGAGGGTCATGAGAAACTTGGAGAAAGGTATAGAGGTGGAGAAGACCAGCAAGGATGACCAACACAAGCTGGAGGCCCAGCCCAACTCGACTTTGACTCTGCCTCGGCCTTCAGGACAAGTCAGCAGTAAAATGGGTGCCTAGGACGCATTCGGACTCCGTTTTCGATGATCCACATATGGTTGAAAAGCTAATTCCATAAGCTAACTAATGGCTTTGGTTTGAGGAACAAATTCCAGGAGAATCAACAGGAATCGTCGAAACAAGTCAGAGTCCAGAATCTGTCAGGGTGCTGTGTCACCGTTTTTGGCCTGTTGGGCCGTGTATCGTCAGTGAGCCTTTAGGGGGTGCATCCACGGGTCTTTGCACGACCCTAGAGTCTTCATAAACAACCGCCCCCTCCATTAGGGTTTGGGTTTTGCTTAGATTAATCTATCAAGAACAGTTTCGTCGTTCATCAGTTTGTGAGACCCCAACATCGTGAGATTAATCATTCATCTGTAATTTGGTTGTTTTCTTTCTTGTTCTTGCTTGTGTTCTTCGTTGCGTAGGCAGGGGTTAGCCTTCTTGGTGAGGTCAACCAATCCGTATCTCGGTTGATAACCAGAGGAGTTGTGGTGCTAAGATTGTAGGGTTCGATCTTTCGATGTAAAGCCGGATTGGTGTGTCATTCTCTGCCACAACAATAGTTACCTCTACCTGAAGGAAGATCGAGATCCCCATCCCCATTAAGTGGTATTCAGAGCTAAGGTATACCGTCAGGTTCACATTTATCCCCTAGTTTTGAGTGTTTCGCATTCGTCCAATAGTCCAGTGCCATACTCATTTTTTTTCCTATCCTAGAACCTTCCGTGCCACAGCCTTTGTATATTTCAGTTACAAAGTCCGTCATGTTGAGTTTGTGTCCTAGTCGAGGTCTTGTTGCTGGTTAGGTCATGTTAGAGTCCAGTTCGTGTGTTTTCCCCATTATTTCCATCAAATCCTTGCTGCCGTGACCAATTTTACGTGTATTGTTCTCGTTTTGTTCTCTATTTTGGAGCCAATTCTTAAAAC